GACTTGGATTTCTGACAATTGTTCAATTTCTGACAAGGAAGCCAAAGCTTATGTGTGGTGGTGACTTCGTACTTTTTTGTGCAGGCAGGAGTTTTGACGCAATAGAGACAACACTTGTCAGTGGCCCACAGTCTCAGAAAAAAATCTATAATCAGTGGTATCTTTGACTTAGTAAGCAGCAAATGAGGTTCCTCAGTGTTTTGCATGATTAGGCATCGTTACGCATCACATCAACTTCTTGCATGCTACTCTGCTCCAATTGTACAGCTGTTTTTCTCTTTTGCCACCTACCTTGATAGGACACTAAAGCCCCTGAGAGATGCTAAAATAATGGTGCAGTTGGGATCAGAGAATTTTATGCCCCATCCCAAACATTGGATGTCCATCTGTGCCAGACATGCAATATTTTGGGGTAGGCATAAGATTCCTCATATCTCAATCATAAAATTCCTCATATCTCTGTAGAGCTGCCTCAATCCTCATTCTGCAGATTGGTCAGGAGGTGATCCGTCCTGGACCCTGGAGCTGCCCCTGTACCTGATGCTTAGCAGAGTATCAGAATCTGGTACAGGCAGACCCAGGTCTTAGTTCAGCTCAGAGTTACCCTTAGCCTGATCCCAGAGATCGGGCTGGGGGTAGCCCCAACACCCAGGGTTGTCAGGGCTAATGTTAACAATCAGTTTATTGTCAGGCCTGGCCCTGGGACAGCCCCAGGCTCAGTTCGAGGACCAGGGCCAATGGTTGGCTGATTGACAGTCCCAGCCCTAGACTCTGGGGTTTGAGAATCTCTCTAATCCCAAGACATTTTAAAAATTGCATGCAACCCCAGCTGTCCACACAGTTTTTAGACATGCTGGGGCACCAGGCCCATGGTAGTTTGGTTGCTTTGTTGAAAAGTGGAATTATTTTTCAACAATGGTGCCAGAGGACTGGAAAAGGGCCAATGTGGTCTCCATTTTCAAAAAAGGGAGGAAGGAACACCCAGGGATTTATAGGCCTTTTAGTCTTACCTCGGTCCTGGGGAAGCTCTTTGAGAAAATTATCCAGGTGCACATCTGTGAGGGACCAGCAGGGGAGTGTATGCTTAGGGGCAACCAACATGGGTTCATTAGAGGCAGGTCCTATCAGACCAACCTGGTGGCCTTCTATGACCAGGTCACAAAATCCTTGGATGCAGGTGTCGTGGTGCCCGTAGTGTTTCTGGACTTTAGGAAGACCTTCGACACTGTCTCTCACCCCATTCTCGTTAAAAAATTAGGAGATTGTGGTGTCGATGCCTACACAGTCAGATGGGTGGCCAATTGGCTGGAAGGCCGCACCCAGAGAGTGGTGGTAGATGGGTCATTTTCAACCTGGAGGGATGTGGGCAGTGGGGTCCCCCAGGACTTGGTCCTCGGGCCCGCACTGTTCAACATCTTCATCAGAAACTTGGACGAGGGGGTGAAAAGCACCTTGTTCAAATTCACAGATGACACTAAGATGTGGGGAGAAGTGGGCACACTAGAAGGGAGGGACAGGCTGCAATTGAATCTGGACAGGTTACAGGGGTGGGCGGATGAGAATAGGATGGGATTCAGTACTGACAAGTGCAGGGTACTGCACGTAGGGAGAAAGAACCAGCAGCATACCTACAGGCTTGGGAACCCCCTTCTCATCAGTGCAGAGGCAGAAAAGGATCTTGGAGTCATTATTGATGCCAAAATGAACATGGGCCGCCAATGTGGGGACGCAGTCAGGAAGGCCAACCTCACCGTGTCATGTATCCACAGATGCATCACGAGCAGGTCCAAGGAGGTGATCCTCCCCCTCTATGTGACACTGGTCAGGCCGCAGTTGGAGTACTGCGCCGCACTTCAAGAGGGATGTGGACAA